CATTGTTTACTCACACACCCACTTGAGCTTAAGTATTTCACATATAATATACTTGGATTGTGAGAGTGTATCTTTGTGAGAGCTTACAATTCCGTTCTCATTTGTATTAGAGAACAAATCTTGTTTTTGCACTTACATTGAGAAAACATGTTGTAATACATAAGGACACTTAGAGGAGTGGTTGAGAGAGACCAGGGTTAATTCCAAGAGGAGTGGCTTGGTTGTAAAAGCCTAATGAGAGGTAGTAATTCCAAGCACTTGAGGAAGGTGACATGGATAGGTCAACACTTAGATGGATGTATTATAGGATTGACAACGTATGGATTGTAAAAATTTTTGGGGAGCTTTAAAAACTAATTGTGTAGTTGTTATTGTGTTGATAGTGGAGAATCTCCTCAATGTGAGTAGCGGAGACGTAGGTCGAGGGTTGACCGAACTCCGTGATCATATTATTGTGTTTGCAGTTGTTTTGGCGCACTATTATTGTCTTATTGTTTATATCGCCTATTATCTCTTATTATCCTTGCATATTTATCTTGCATATCATATTGTAAGGTTATTAGTTAATAAGTTTTTAATTTAGAATTAAAATTGGATTAGATTAGCAATTACCCTATTCAACCCCCCCTATAGGGTACTTTCAAGATGTAGATTAAAGACGTAGATTAAAGAAGTAACATAAATAGTGGAAGTGACACTTCTTTCTTTTTATTTACTTTTTTTGTTTGGATAGCAGATGGAAATAGCAATATGATGAGAGATAGAGGATCTTTTGAGATTTTATCTAGAGTGCGAAGTATCCAAATAATAATTAACCTAATTTTATTCCTAAAATAATGAATATTTCAACTACTTTCAAGCCTTGAGAGACGAAAAAAGATTTAAGAACTGGGGCTACACAGGCACCACGTCATCATTTTAGAAAGTACTAGAAATGACTTTTCTAAAGAAACATACTATTTTTAAATAGCATCTACTTTCTTTATGTAAAACCCCAAAAATTTGAATATTTTGTAATAAATAATAAATGTATTGTATTATGAAAAAAATAATATTTATTAATATTTTAGTATGCTAAGAATTTATTTGAGATTAATTCAATGTATATATGTGAATATAGAAGTGATATCATGCACACGTGCACGGACCTGAATCTGGGAAAAACAACCAGTTAAAAGTATATGCATTTTACACATTGAAACAATTAGAATCTGGAAAAACTTAAAATACTAAGTTGTAGGTATCTTCAAGAGCTTTCCAATAAATCTTACATCACCTCATTCCGAGGTGAGATGCGAAAGTTATTGCTAAAATACCGAATGTTGTTTTCCTAGTCAGACTAGGTTTCCTGGTTCGGGTCAAATAGGTTTATTTCGGGTTTGTATATATATATATATATATAATCATCGACGTGTAGCAAGGAGAAAACGGGTTGTTTGCACTTCTAATTGCTTGTTGTTTATCTCAGAGGCTTAGAACGATATTTGAGGTAAGATTATCTTCATCCATACCTATCCCATAGTTAAATAACTAGTGTAGATGATTAATATGATGTTGAATATATGTTTTCATGCTTTGATCTTAACCTGAGGTGTTAAAAGTCATATTTTTGATAGTAAACCTTAAAACAAATGCTAGATGAATAATCTTTTCTTGCTGTTTATGATAGTATCATGATCATGATCATTAGGGTTTTTCATAATTTTATTCATATATGAGAAATTTAAGTGATGTACTATATATATGTTTTTCTGCAGAAAACTACAGCACTTGTATAATATTTAATTGAGAATTTAAGATAGTAAAAAAACTCTAAATTTAACCAAACTAGTTTTAAATGAAAGCTATATGTATCTAGTTTCTAAAACAGAAAACCTTTCTTAAAAAGACTTTGTATAGGGGCTGTTTGGTTCGCAATTAAGGCCAGTGGAAAACTAATAAAAACCCCTCCACGTTACTTTTTTCCCATCCACCTCAGATTTTTTGTTTCCTCACTTTTTCTTTCCCAGCTTTGTTTCGCTAGGGCTATTCAGGGAAACGAAACCGTAAATTGCCGCCACATCAGTTTTTTTCTTCGTTCCCGATTCCCTCCCCATCCGAGTGAAATCGACGAAAATGTTGCCACATCGGATTTCTGGCTTCGTCATTGATTTCTTTCAGCCCCTAATAGTTACCTCTCTCTCCTCCCGCCATAAACTCCCACTCTCTTCTTTACCCCTATAATCGAAGAAATTAAGGGAGTGTGTTTTGATCTTGTGCCACCAATTTATCAGATTGATCTTTGTCGACGCTGTTGCTTCCAAAACGTAGGTAAAAATTATCTATCTTTTTTATTTTTGGGATTATTAGTTTAATTTAGATTAATTTAGTAGAGAAATTGGTGCCCTATTCGGATTATTAGTTTAATTTGTTCTTCGGTCCCTATTCAGATCCGAGATTAGGGTAAAAATTGTCTATTCAGATCTGAGATTAGGGTTAATGATTAATAAGAAGTAGTTTACGCCAAATTTGAGATCTGGTAAAAAAAATATCTGCCCGGAGTAGAATTTTTTATTTTTAGAAAAAATATTTTATGTCTGTTGTAGATCTGGTAAAAAGTTGGTTTTGTGTGGAAATTGTTTAAACAGATCTGAACACGTTAAAAAGTTGATTTTGAGAAAAAAAAATTTGGTTGTAGGATTTTTCACACACAGAGGGGTTAAAAATTACTTTATAGTTGTCAATTTTGAGATCGAAACACATTGGTTTATTTGTGAAATTCACCTTTCATGACTGATAAATAGTTTAATTTTACTTCTTGTCGGTTGAAGCATTACTGGTTAAAGAAGTTCTAATTGATGTTTTTAGAAAATATGAGTAATTGTTTGCTTTGATAATTTATGACTGAAATTTCCTATAAACTTGTAATTTTAGAATAAGTATTGTCCCAATAATGGCTATTCAGGTTTAACGTTAATTTGTTAATTTAGAATTAGTTTTTAAAATTAGTTTATGCTAATACCCAATATGAGTTTTGGACTAAATTGTAATGTTTCTCTAAACATAACTATTGTTATCATGCGAATATTTCTAACTTCTTATAAAGTTTCTCTAAACATTAACACATTCTAATGATTTTATTTGATCTGCTACCTTTTGTCATTCATCATTTATTCACTTTTTCAATTATAGCTCTTGTATAGTAATCACATCATCCAAAATCACATCAGGGTAGAATATTCATCAAAAAACTTTATGGTCTATACAAATCTTGAAAAAAAGCGATATTAGATTGACAAAAGTGAAGAGCTTAGAATGAAAAAGTAGATTTTATAGCTAAGAAACCAAATTTGTGAATAGACCTTCCACCTAAAAACAAAAAAAAATATTTTTTTAATTATATGATTATTAGATAGTTTTAAAATGTTACTGTAGCATGTTGTTAATAAGTTTTTTCAATTTAGGAGCTAAAAATTCATATATTTTGGATTTTTAAATGCAAGTTATGTCACTGTAATATTTGTTTCTTAGATATTGTAGTAATCCATGTTAGTCTTTTGTAATTACGGTTTTGTTCTGATTTTGTTAGAATTCGACTTAGTTTCTAACTAGATAATGATTTTTTGCATCGTAAATGGATAATGATGGTGATTGTTCTGATGAACAAAGTATCGTTAATATGGTACAAGGTGCTGCCCTATCCGTTTTAATTATAATAATTACTTTCATAAGGAGAATGCAAGTTAGACGTAAATCAATTCGCAATGGTCCAAATAAGGAAAAAAAGACAAGAGAGGGCTAAAATTGAGTACATAGAGCTAATTTATAATGGTTTTAGTGATAGTTGCGTAAATTATATTAGAATGCGGAGTGGTGCTTTTGTTAAACTAGTGAGTATAATGAGGAATAATAGCCCGCTAAAAGACTCAAGGAATGTAACGATGGAAGAACAACTTATCATGACACTACATATTCTGGGACATAAATCTAAGAATCATTGTGTCAGATCACATTTTATAAGATCAGGGGAGACAGTTAGTAGATATTTCAACAAGGTATTACAAGCAATTATTTACTTGCATGGATAGTACATGAGACAAGCTCCCAATGACATTCCCCAATAGATCGTTAACAACCCGCTATACTACCCTTATTTCAAGGTAAATCTACACTTTAAGCACATTTATTTGTATAATCAATGTAAGTAAATTTTAATTTAGATGTGTGATACACGTTGTGACTGCAGGATATTTATAAGTCATCATACAATTTACTAAGATGCAAGCAACCTATAATGTGCACACATTGTACTGGATGGCTATTGCTCTAGGTATTTTGTGAAGTAAGTTTTCATGAAACGAGTTTACATTGGCTAATATTTATATTTTAGGCTATGATGATTGTCATAATATCTAAGATTAGCAACCTATAATATCTATTGATATTGTATTGGATGGCTAACAATGATGATATTGATAAAATTCCGAGCCCTCAGAAATAATCAGTAGCCACCTGCTGATTGTTGGCTGGTGGTTCATTGGTACTTGATATTGTTGTGGAATGGTCGTAACTTGTTTTATCGGGTACTTTAATAGAAGCTTCACTTCATTACAATTATAATCAACTTTCACTAAAAGTTTTAAATGGGTAGATGGTTGTTTTACTGAAGAAATATACTGCATATAGACAAGCCCATGGTACATGGATATCTTACAGGAAGAAATTTTTCAAAATCTGTCAAAAACATTAAGATATAGTTGAGTAATTCCTTCCAAATTAATAGGTTCATAACGTTTTGTTTATGACTAGTTAAGAGGGCACGTGGCTATATACGTTTTGTATAAAATTGAAGACTATATGTATGGCAAGACAAAATATAGAAGAACATAGATACATGTGAATTAGGAAAATAAAATTCTAGAAATATATATAGTCCTCAATAAGCTGCAGACGTATGGTATGTGGGAAAGCCTCTTAAATTCTTAATACCCTTCACTATCAAATTTTCACTCCTATAATCTTTAAATTTGGTGTTGGTGTTGTTGCCTGATGCCTGTTGGTGGTGTTGATGCTTGTTGGTGGCGTTGGCTGGGTTGTTGTTGCCTGTTACTGTTGTTGGCTGGGTACTTGTTCGTGTTGTTGCCTTTTGGTGTTGTTTCCTGTTGGGTACTTGATGTTGTTGCCTCATGCCTGTTGGTGGTCTTGATGCATGTTGCCTGATGGTGTTGGTGTTGATGCTCGTTGGTGGTGTTGGTGTTGATGCCTGTTCGTGGTCTTGATGTTGTTGCCTCATGCCTGTTGGTGGTCTTGATGCATTGTTGTTGCCTGTTACTGTTGTTGGCTGGGTACTTGTTCTTGTTGTTGCCTTTTGGTGTTGTTGCCTGTTGGGTACTTGATGTTGTTGCCTCATGCCTGTTGGTGGTCTTGATGCATGTTGCCTGATGGTGTTGGTGTTGATGCCCGTTGGTGGTGTTGGTGTTGATGCCTATTCGTGGTCTTGATGTTGTTGCCTCATGCCTGTTGGTGGTCTTCATGCATGTTGCCTGATGGTGTTGTTGTTGATGCCTGTTGGTGGTCTTGATGTTGTTGCCTCATGCCTATTGATGGTCTTCATGCATGTTGCCTGATGGTGTTGATGCCCGTTGGTAGTGTTGGCTGGGCATGTTATTGCCTGTTGGTGTTGTCTGCTGGGTACTTGATGTTGTGAGCCTGCTTGTTGGCTGATGGAGTTGTTGGCTGGTGGTGTTGTTGGCTGATGTTGATGCCAGTATTTTGATATTGTTTACGGGTGATCAAATTAGGCTATGATGATTTCCAATTTATCTGAGATTAGCAACCTGCAATGTCTCTTGATATTGTACTAGATGGCTAACAATGATGATATTGACCAAAATTCTGAGCCTTCAGCCATAATCAGTTTGGCAGCTATGTTTGGCTTTGTGACCATTACAATCTAATTGTGTTCAGTTTGGTTTGCATATGTTGTTTCTCTTGGTTTTTTCTGCTCGGTGTTGTATCAGTAGTCTGTAGCTAATTTTGAAACTTTGTATGCAGATAAAATCTCGTATAAAGGATTGTAACAGTACATACATTATAAGTTTTCATAGTTCTATTCGTGCAGTTCTGATCTTTGTGAAGCTGGGTTTTGTGTTGTGGAATAATTTTCAATCATGGTTTTGTGCGATTTGCTAGGTTATATACTTATGCTTGGCTATTCAGGTTGTTTATATGTTTTTATAGGTTTCAACAGTTTTTTTGGATAATTCATGCAACTTAACTACATAAATTTATGAATAATCAGGTTATTACATGATTCGTGTGATTTTTTAAATCTGAAACATGTATATTACAAGTCAAATTATAATTTATTTGAGATATTATTATTTGTTCATGTTACAGTCGAACTTTTATATAATTAAGATTACATCACATAACGAGCACAAATGTTGTATAATATAGTGGGGGTAATTTTACCATGGTGACCATAAGCATTTTTCACTACAAACATCAAAACCAACCAAACACAAGAAAAGTGGGAAATGTAATATCAACAAAAGTTTTCCCTTTTTTTCCATGCGAACCAAACACAAGAAAAATAAATACATTGGTTTCCCATTATTTTTTTGTGAGAACCAAAGCGAAACAATCTATTTCTTAGAAAAGTTTGGAAAACTCAAAACTTGTGTTTTTGTACATGGAAATGCATTTCCCTATATCTAGGAAACGAACCAAACAGCCACTATGAGAAAGATATGTTATGTTTACTAATAACATGTCCTGTAGAAAAATGATTGCACATATATAATATTTAACTAGAGATTTAGGATAACAAATAAACTCCAAACTGAACCAAACTTATGTCATTTGAAAGATGTGTGAATCTAGTTTTAAAAGCAGAAAACCATTTATAAAAATAGTTTTCCTAGAGAAAGATATGCATATTTTACTAACAGATGTCCCGTCTGTTTTTCCTGCTCGTTTTGTGGAGCTGTGTTGCTCCGTTTTGAGGTGTGTTCGCGGAGTTTTGAGCTGCTTGATGTTACACGTATAGTCATGAATATGTTATGTTATACATTTAAGAATCCTACGGGGATTATGATGAATTTTGATTTGATCATATTTGAATTAGATATAGTTTATATACATGTTGGATGTCGATGTTGGATGTCGTTGATGAGCACAGCTCAGTACTATATGGGATAGTGCGTCGACACACCAGATATACATAGTTTATACATGAGGTGGATATCGTTGATGAGCTCAGTTCAGTACTACATGAGGTAGTGCGTCGATATTCCACATGTACAGGCCATTGAGTCGGATTTTAAGAGGCTTGATCTAGCCGTCCGTCCCGCACTAGGGTGCGATGAGGCTCGTGAGCCGTATTTCTAGGATGCCTATTTGGTAGTCTGTCCCACACTCATGTCCCGCACTAGAGTTTTTAGTTTCAAACATAAATCTCTTCAAATTACTTTCCAAGGAATGCATACTCCGTTCATACGAAGCAAATCGAAATGATAGCGTACGGTTATGCAGATACTTGGATGTTTCATCTGAATCCTCATCAATTTCTTCTTTATCTTCATGATTTTGCTTCAAATTGGGATCAGCTTGGCCATCGCTCATAAATTCAGAAGCGTCATCATTTTCCTAATACATATTTCCATAAGTAAATTAAATAAAATATGGAAACTTGTGATAAAGTAGAAGCACATATAGACCATCTGGCTTATATTTGATGGTGGTGCACTTTGTCTCTCTGATGCTCTTGTTCTTTCTTCCACATGATCTATCAGTAAGTTAAATAGTATTACCAGCTGTAGAAAAGACCAAAGAAATATTAGTAAAATACTACTTCTAGGATTAATAATATAAAAATAGTCTAGTAGTAGTTACTCATTCTATTTACCATTTTTTTTTGGAAATTCATGGTATGTTTGGTTATCAGCACGACCAAATTCATTTTCGAAGTTCTCTTTTAATATAATATACATCGCTTCTCAGTCTAATGTATCATCATTAGAGGAATTTTAACATTGTAATCAAAGTTATTGCCCGGAAATCTAAAGTGCTCATAATATCAGTCTAATGAGACTAATGAGCCACAGTTCATGATACTTACAGGGTAGTCTGTTGCACTGAGACAATTACTTGATAGCCTAAGTATGGCAGATGCCAATTATGAATACGACCAATCATTGAACTACATGACTGAGATACGTTACTTTTGAAAGTATACAAAATTATGTGTTGGTATTTTATTCAATCTCTCCAGTGATAGTGGAAGATATTATAAATACGATGTGTTGATATCTTATTTTTTTATTGTCTTCTTTACTTCTTAGTTGGGATCAATGATTAGAGATTCACAACTTGAAACATATGGTATATATATGAGAGTTTCCTTGTTTGGATTATTTCGCTCGACGTACCAGTCTCGTGTTATGGATTTATGGTATATATATGAGAGTTTCCTTGTTTGGATTATTTCGCTCGACGTACCAGTCTCGTGTTATGGATTTCTAATTATTGGCTCGACGTACCAGTCTCGTGTTATGGATTTCTAATTATTGGTTTCATTAGATTGTCTTTTCTTAGTTTGATATTAATGTTTAGATATCTACAAATTGAGACTTATGGTATATACATGAGGATTTTCTTGTTTGGATTATTTTACTCGACGTACTACGTCTCGTGTTGTAGGTTTCTAAATGTTAATCATACTTAGATACGGGAAAAATAAATCAAGGTAGACTATGCTTAATAGATAGAGCCTTCACTCCATCTAGTAGCCCTTCCCCTTGGGGCGGATGGAGGTAATCTTGCTGTAGCGCTCTGACGCTCTTATTGTTGTTCTTTTTCTTTTAAATTACTTTTCAGATAGTTCGGAGTTTTTCGGAGAGCCGCAGGGTGACGGAGTTCTGGAATAGTCGCTGTCGCGTATTTTTACTTGTAGAGACTCCACTGTAATTTTGAGTTTTATCCAGACATTAGGGTTTTATATTCATATTGTAAAGGCGGTGTGCCTTAGTACGATTTTTAGTTGATTCATGTTGAGACATTTTCATTATTCAGATATCAGATGTATTATAGTTGAGACATGATTCTTTTTATTTATGAGATATCTCTTCTATATCATGTCTATTACATTTATTTCCTTTATTTTGTCTGTTTGTACTTGCACTTCTATTTGGTTCTACTAGAAGATATTTGTAACGCCCCGCCCCGGAATCCCGGAGTCGGTACGCTATTAGATCTGATGGACTGGCCTCACAAACCACCACATGTCTTTTCAGCACGTTTTGTCCTCATTCACGCGCTCCCTAGAAAACTTCTCAGGGGGTCACCCATCCTAGAATTTCTCCAGGCCAAGCACGCTTAACTTTGGAGTTTCTAAGAGTTGGGTTCCCAAAAAAAATGCATCTTGATGGTATGAGTATTCCAATCAAATCTATCAATACTAATCACATCACCCTCTCAAGGGTTGGGGTATTACAATATTACTGTGATTGGTGAAACATGTTTATGTACAGTGTGAGTGCATGACAGTTTAGACATCTCTGGTTTCACCTTGGACTGCAGCATTGTGTGAACCTATGAGCGTCACACTTTACTTCACCTACTTTATACATTTTCCCGTGCAAACAAAGAGGCCCTAAACCAAATAAGATTATATTTATTATATAGTTTAATGTTCATAAATATTAAACTATTTATCAAATAGTTACACTGTAATTTTTTATAGATACTCATGAATATTAAAAAATATTCATGCTTGAATTCGAGTTCGAAGAAATTCAAGGAAGGATATTGGATTTCAAATTTAAATTTGAAGATTTTAAATTGGATAAGAATATGAGGATGGTTGACTGCGATACTAGATTTTACCGATCACTGGTGCAATTAACAATTTGTTTAATAATAATCTAAAAAAACAAATTGCCCAACAATCCATTTAATCAATCCAGAAGATGCGACATTGTAACTACTCTGGTATCAATTTAGAATGGGTGTTCATTTAAAAAAATGTTCAGTGAGAGAGAAATCAACCTGTATTTAAAATAACGTGTTTGATAGCAGCAGATGCTGGATTGATTCGCGGAATTTAATTTCAGAAAACTCCCGTTAACTTTGGACGTTTTGACAAATCACCCCTACAACATCCAAAATATCAGAATACTCTTTAAGTTTAGATGCTATAATTAGAAAACTCTCTTGAACTTCAATGTCTTTCAAAAGAACCCTCTGAAAAGCATGAACCACATTTTTCACACGCAAAAACTGTTGGAAATTTATCAAATAAATAAAGATTATAGCATGAATTTAAACCCGGAAATTAAATAAATAATACATCAAAGATAGATAATATAAATTAGAGAAACAGGCCTGATGGGAGCAGTCGTGTAAACACTGCCCTAGAAGATTGAGGACCCGCCTATCGCCCTGGCGCAGATGATCCCTTCTCCCCTAGCGGTAAAAACCCCCGGAAACGGCCCGGCCTCTGCACTCGGGCGAGAGTGCAGAGCTTCAGCTCAGATGAAGAAGTTGCCCATAAAGTAAAACTAAAGTATAGATGAAAATGATATGTAGAGGAGAAAAGAAAACAAGATAAGTTTTCCACATTTTTCTTCATTTTTCTTGAGCTCAACATATGTTGTTTATATAGGGGTTGAAAAGAGCCGTTACAAAATCCCTCAATAAATTTCGTAACGTTCGTCATAATGTATAGTCATTATGCCCATTTTAATTACAAATTAAAACACATTAAAACATATTTTAATTGCATATTTTAATTACAAAAATTTATTAGAATTCATTAAGGCAAAATTGCCTTTTCTTTAAAAATATCCAACACAAACTCCATATTTAGCCAATGCCACTTAACCTTACCTCTACAAATATTTCTGTTTTTCTGTTGATCAACGCTAAATAGTTGCTAATATTAGAGAAACATAGAAATACAGTTTTTCCTTTCTAATAAAGGCGTATATTCGGTTAACAGATCTCTCAACAGCTATCTCGATAACTGGACAACCGATTCCTTTCATCTTAATCTTCAATATAAATTCTAATCCTCTCATTCTTTCTTTTTCAATTCCATATCAAATTTATTCCAGCTTTCTTCTTCTTTTGTTGAGCAGAAGCTAGCAGTCTTCGTGCTCAAATGGCTCAAGCCTCAGAGATGAACAATAGCGTGTTGAATTCGACAACTCCTAGTGTAGAGCTAGAGTGTTTCTCCCCTTATATGATCATCACCAATGGAATATGGCTTGACGACGATCCTCTAAGATACTCTCTCCCTCTTTTCCTTATCCAACTCCTTATAATAACGCTGACCAGTCGCACTCTTAATGCTATCTTGAAACCCTTTGGCCAGCCTATGGTCCTCGCTGAGATCCTAGTATGTTGATGCAAACAAGTATCATATTTTTCTTATTTCAATATTAAATTTTGATAGATGATGATTTTTGACATTTACAAATGCAGGCAGGGATGCTGCTGGGACCATCTTTTGTGGGAAAATTCTTTCAAGGATTTCAGGCTCATTTCTTTCCACCAAGAAGCATCAGCATACTGTCGTCGATGGGTAACTGTGGCCTACTTTGCTTTGTGTTCATGGTTGGAGTTGAGATGGACATAAATGTGCTAAGGCAAATGAAGAAGAAAGTAATGGCTATCGGAGCGATTAGCATTGTGCTTCCTTTTGCGATCACCTTGACTGCTGCCTACCTCTTTCGCGGCTATTTCCTTGAAGAAAAAAAGAACAATGCCTTTTATGTCTATCTCGCTCTGGCTCTATCAATCACTACATTTCCTGTGCTCGCTCGAGTCCTTAGAGATCTCAAGCTTCTGAACACAGAGGTCGGTCGAGTTTCCATATTGTCCTCTGTCGTCAACGATCTGTTCTCTTGGGTGTTGCTTGCCCTTGTCGCTGTACTCTCAGGAACTATGAGAGCCGATAAAGGGATGGACGGCCTACCATTCCTCTACATCTTGCTGTCGAGCCTGGGCTTCTTTATCATCTGCGTTGTCTTGGTGCGACCGGTATTAAAATGGCTCGTGGACAGGACGCCGGAAGGAGAGCCTATGAGCGATATAGACCTGGGCGTGGTCATCATGGGGGTGATGGTATCTGCATACGTAACTGATTTCATCGGCGTTCATGGTGTTTTTGGGGCGTTCATTTATGGACTGATGTTTCCATATGGAACCCATGGTACTGCACTGGTTGAGAGATTGGAGACTTTTGTTATGATGTGACTCATTTCTTGTGTTTGGTTTATTTTTAGGAGATGATATGAGATGAGTTATTGGATGAAAATAATATTTTATTGGATAAAGTGAATGAGTTGTTAGATAAAAATAATATTTTATTGGATGTTGTGATGAGTTTTAGGGTGGCACTACAGGCACACCACCAACCACACCTTGGGACACACTCCTCTCTCAGCTACAGTACACGGGACCCATATGAAATTTTTAAAAAATTTCATGTGGGCCCCGTGTACTGTAGCTGAATGAGGAGAGTGTGTCCAAAGGTGTGGTTGGTGGTGTGCCTGTACCATTTTCCTTTTGAATTTTGGTGCTCATATAATGGAAGGGGACCCACAAGAGCTTAACTATTGTAGAAATCGTGGGGGTTTTTTACTGCTGAATGAAAGCAAATTAACTTTTTTACATCATAACCATTTATTATTCGGTGGGTCGTCAATGCAGATATATTAAATATTAAATTTAAAATGAGTCATAATTGTCTAATAATCCACATGATGGTGACTGAACAATTGGAATCTCCATTCCAATTAGGAACGAACTAAAGTAAAGATGATCCTAATCAATTTGTAGGTCTGTGCATAATTTAACTCTTCATTATGGAGAGAGTGTACTTTGATGGTGAGTTCATTCATAATAATGCCTTTAGAAGAGAAAGAGAGGGGACCTCACTCCCACCTTTTTTTTTTTTTTCGAGGAACCTCACTTCATCAGCTCCCTCCTCTTCCTCTCACTCCGGCTAACACATATAATGGAAGGGGGCCCACAAGAGCGTGGACACGTGTAAGGAGATGATTGGGAACGCCACGTCAGCTTGAGGGAGACTGAGGAGCTGCTGTGTTCTCATTCTCTCATTCTCTCACGGGGGACTCACCTCTCCCTTGCGTCGGAGGTACCCTGAGCCAGACAGCATTTGGCACGCGGTATTTGGTGTGTACGTGTTAACAGTGTTCGCTGTGTGTCAGAATTAGCGCAGACGATGCAAAAGAGGGCAAAAGAGAGAGAGAGAGAGAGAGAGAGAGAGAGAGAAGGAAGACTGTGTAAACTGTGAATAATTTTAATTATTAGATCTTTTTATTTTAGCGGCTCAACTTTTGCTGTGTGTTTTTGCTATTGGTAGTTGTTGTTCCTGTAGTTTTTGCAATTATTGCTTCCCCGTCGTCTTTCATCGTCCGTAAAGTTGAGTACCTGATCTTTGTGTGAGTATATAATCTATTAAATGATTAATTTATTAAATGTTTGTAATCGACTAGCTACCATATACTCATATTGTTGGGAATTTATAAAATAATTAAGATTATAGCATGAATTTAAACCCGGAAATTAAATAAATAATACATCAAAGATAGATAATATAAATTAGAGAAACAGGCCTGACGGGAGCAGTCGTGTAAACACTGCCCTAGAAGATTGAGGACCCGCCTATCGCCCTGGCGCAGATGATCCCTTCTCCCCTAGCGGTAAAAACCCCCGGAAACGGCCCGGCCTCTGCACTCGGGCGAGAGTGCAGAGCTTCAGCTCAGATGAAGAAGTTGCCCATAAAGTAAAACTAAAGTATAGATGAAAATGATATGTAGAGGAGAAAAGAAAACAAGATAAGTTTTTCACATTTTTCCATATGTTTCTTGAGCTCAACATATGTTGTTTATATAGGGGTTGAAAAGAGCCGTTACAAAATCCCTCAATAAATTTCGTAACGTTCGTCATAATGTATAGTCATTATGCCCATTTTAATTACAAATTAAAACACATTAAAACATATTTTAATTGCATATTTTAATTACAAAAATTTATTAGAATTCATTAAGGCAAAATTGCCTTTTCTTTAAAAATATCCAACAAAAACATCCACATGCATAATTTTACTCATCCATGTGAAACTTGCACTTAACACTACCGAGGTTGTTAATATGTGAGTATACTCCCACATTAGATAGGATAATAAACAGTAATGTAATTAAAATAAAAAATGAGGTCAATACCTAATAGCTATAGCTTTTGGGTTAAAATTGGTTTCTACTAGTAAGAGGTTTTTTTTGAAGAAATCGTAAGAGTCATTAACTCTAGATTGGGTCCATTTCCCAGCAACAATCACAGATTAGAGGTTTATGAAGAAATCATAAGTTGAAGAGGGTATCATGATAACCCATAAACACATATAAAGGGATTTAATCGTTCAAAGTTAGGATTTTTTTTTCCTCCATGAAATTTAGCCTTTGATAACCAACCAATAGATTTCGTAGTATCCTGACACCAGGCTTAGTCTTGTTTCTAATTATGAAACTAAGCTCATCAGTCAAGTATGACGGCTACAAGGCAATAAGCTACAACTTAGTTGACAAGTTGGAAAGAGAGAGCGCCCTGCCAATAAAACTTGACCTTATCTGTGGACAGCCAACTGAAACTGATCATAATGGGCCCTGTGGCTGCAGCAAGCTAGTGGAGCAGACATTGCATCAGTGCTAATTAAACTAGGGGCAATAACAAGTAATAAATGATCATGTATGTGAGGATCATGGAGATAATGGACACTTGATATTGAAACTTTGCCAGAAAAAGCGGCGGATGTAAATAATAGTTGAGTGCGTGGGGCACCAAAACTTCGATGGTTGGTCTCAAACTAAAGGGTTGGATCGGTTGGTTTCCTATTTGATGCATCCCACGAGCGTTCATGAGGCTTGCTTAGAAAAAGCCAGCAAGTGCAGAGAGATAGAGACCTTTTTAAATGTTATAGTGTTTTTCTCCTCTACGTCACGGGGAGGCTACACCGTAATTTATGTACACTGAATATCATCGTCGTGGTCATCATCAGTAAAGAAATTTCTAAAAATTATTGCGCTGGTCTATATTATACTTATTTAATTTTAAATGTATCAAGTGATTGCTAGTGAACAGGACCGCTGAACAGTTTTTCCAATGGTACCGAGTGAAATAACTTTTTTAATAATTGTTTCTTTTTATTATTTGCTTTAATAGTCTGCTGTTAAACATTATGTCAATTTAAATTTGGTCTTGATGGAGATATTTTTGTCTATCACATTCGAATAACTCAATATACCCTTTTAAGTTAAATTAGGCAGCCGGGCATAGAAACAAAAGGGTTATATTAATCAAGGTATATATGCTCTAAATAACACTAAACGAAAATCATTAGATATTTTTTTGAAGAAAAAAAATAGGGCAGGATGCCCTTAAATTAAAGGAGATGAAGATACAAGCACACGGTACTCGTTGGAGAACTTGGAGCTCTGAGTTTTAAACTTTAAGCCATCGAGATATCTATGTGGAAATATTCAATATTTTCATATTCATAGAAATAAGTATACTAAAAATATTCAATATCCTAACTGAATGTTTTTTTATTTTAATTTTGATAAGACACTAGAACCGTATATGATGAGAGGAGAGAAAGAAGCACGCCATCAATCTAGCTTGGAAATAACAGGTATTAGTTCCAACTACATATTCTCTCACCTTACTTCTTATGATATGTAATTAGCGTATTGTCCCTGAAGGAATTGTGTCCTTTAATCGAATGTGTAATTACTAATTATGGTATGGGACATTTAATGGAGATTTACAATCCGGTTATTTTAGGTAGTCATAGTGCTTTGCTAGAAGCCAACTATGATTTATGGACTTTATGTTATTTTGCTAGAAGCCAACTATGATTTATGGACTTTATGTTATAAAGTTCATTGCTATTATAATTGGGTCCTATATATGAGGTCACACCCTAAGAGTTTATGGACTGGATATATTGGGAGAATTATTATATAAAGTTTATTTATAAAGGATAAATTTATTTATAACTTCAAAATAGAGTTTATTAATAATAAGGAGTTATTGTTAAATAAAGGATAAATTTATTTATAAATGTTATAAAAGATAATATTTAATTATAGAATTAAATATGACTTTAATTAGTGGATTATATTTAATTATAGAATTAAATATGACTTTAATTTGTGGATTATAAATAAGAGTGGTTTTTCTTTTAGAAAATCCAATCCAATTCTACTTTTTCTATATACGTGAAAGTGTTACTACTTTCTCTCCCAAAAACCTTTCATCTTCAACCTAGCAGTTGATTTCTAAGGATCCAGATCTTTGCTCGGGTGGATCAACTAGAGGAGTTTTCAAGTGAGACTCTTAATCTCTCCATTAGAGAAGGCTTTGAACACGCATCAAGAGGTAATCGTTTTTCCTTTTTTTTTAATCCAATTGATTTATGCAATAGATCCTTCGTTTAGATGTTAGGAAAACGTTTCCTGCAATTCCGCTTAGAGCATCTAAAGTTTCTACAGTGGTATCAGAGCCTCTTGCATAAATTAATTGGATCAAATTTTAATCTTACAATTTGATGCATGTTCATGATTTTTTAGATTCAATAAGCATAGATCATATGTTTGGATTAATGCATAATAAATACGATTTATTTTATAAAATATTTGATATTTTATTTGATAAATAAAGATTTAATTGTTCTGTAAGATCTATATATATCTTATTTGGTTAATTTTGAATTAACATAAATATTTGATTCTATTTCTTGGCAAATTACTAATTAATATTAGATATTAATTCCATTCACAGTCTTATTGAATTAAAATAATGAGAAATCGTTTCTAATTTTAAATAGTTAATATGATTAATTATTTATGCTTTTTATTTGGATAAATTGCATGTCTTACTTGAATAACATTTCATTGCATGTACGTTTAATATTATGATATTATTGCATGTGGTGACTAGTATGGCCCAAATTAGGATAGATAAACACGATCTGCGTATCGTTATGTATTTTTTGTAATTTAAATTTATGCAAGAAAGTTTATTCAAATTTATGTAACACAAGAAGAAGAAGATCCTATGATGACTAAAGGATGGTGATCCAGAAAGTCAAGACTATTGAAGATTAGATCTCTTTAGAGGCCATACTAGGATCCAAATTTTTATTATTTCATTATGTGAATGTTTTTATTATC